AAACCAAGCCTTCAAATTATTCTTTTTTTCATAGTGATGTTTGATATTGGTTGATAGTGAATTGCATAAAATGAAATTTTTTATTGAACTTGTATTTCATCATCATTGAAAGATTAACAATGGAATAGTAATTCAATAATGGTTAGAAAATACTGTTACATTTTTATGAGAGTGACGGAAATCTAATCATTTCCCTCAGCATGCATATCAAGAGTTATGACAATTTAATTGTTAGATTACCAATATAACTGTTATGGTATTGTTTCATAATCTATTAAAACCTAACCCTATCATAGTAATATATCACTTTCAATGCCTGATTGTATCAGTTTAAAGTGAACTTAACTTAGAACACAAGAAAGAAGGGGAGAGACCAGAAGGAAATATATAAAATAGAAAAAAAGTATAATAGAAGGAGTTATGATAATATCAAAGGCCGTTATGTGAATTATAGAAATGTAACGGCTGATAGTTATGAAATAGATATGAAAAAGATACAAGTAAGGACGAGGGAAAGAAGGTCATGTTCATTATTACGTCAGCAAAATTGAAGCATTGAATTAACGAATGAAATAACGTGGGTGTCACTAACTAATAAATAAATGGCTTTTCCATGTAACACCAAGTTGCCTGGCTATGATTGCTAATTACTTGCACTGATGGTTCATTAATTAGCCGGTTCGCGGTGTCTTTGTAGACGAAGGATTGTCGTATACTATAAGCGCCCACGAGACGTCAAAATAAACAGTCGCGAGAGATGAAACTGTTTCCGTTGTCTTTACCTGCTGTGCTGGCTCATCACAATGTTATACCTCTAAGCCTTTCTTCTTCTTGTGCCTCCTACTCAATTATTTTCTCTCTTTATTTTTCCTAGCTCCATCTTGCTCGCGGCCAACCCTTTTGCATCGCCACTGTATAAACACATTAGCGGTTTTGCGCTACCGCCATAATCTCGTTTGTGTGTGGGTGAATGCTAACTCGAGGGTGTAGACACAGTCCTCTTATGTGTCCCCTTCTAACTCGACTATATATCTATACCTTCTAGTGAATACAATCCTATATCGTTTTACACAATGCGTTCTGAAAGAGAAATGGGAACACCACCTACAACTGCAGCACAACCTGCGGTCACGACTGGCTATCGACCTGTAAAATTAGTTTCGTGTTCGCAGTGATGTCACTCGAGTTCATCTACAACCTAAGTGTTCTTCAAGCTTAGTATATATATATGTATATACTATGTACGTACTCGAGTAATATCGTTGCGATGTTGTCGACCTGATCTAACGCTCTCTGGACTTGCACTCACAGGAAAGTGGAAACTAACTTGTGAATATTTTATCCACTTGGAACTCATCAACCTTTTTCTGTATCCTTGACTTTAAAACTGGTATTTTTACTAAGCTGTACTCATAATTATTACTGGTCCAACCTGCAACACCAGATTGAAAGCGGGTGACTGAAAATACTGTCATTTTTCATGATTAAGAATAAAACAAACATAAATTTAAATGATTAAATTTTCTTTAGTTCAACAGAGACAATCTGTTGTTTCAAATTGATAATTTTAGGGGTGTAAAAACGCCTTCTTTTCCAATAATTACTACTGAATCCTTTAAAATGCCGACGGAAATTTTAGGGTTTAGCAAGACTAAGCCGTTGATAACATAGGACTGTCATGCTATTTCCTCTTTAGGATTTCCTTTTGGGAGTGCGAGGCTAATAATTATAACTCTGCACTCTAACAGCTAGACAACAACTACCTGCCGCCTAAATAATTCCTCGAAAATTTTGGAATATTTGAAAGCTGCTGTATATTCTGTTACATGTGGTACATAAACTTCACAATCCATTATGCGTTATGGGCTAACAAAACTAAATATTGACGGTGTACCCTTTTCAACCACGCACGTGAGTCAAGAGAGCTAAAACTTTACACATGATACTGATGTATTTATTTTCTCTAAACATTCACCGACCAGGGTAAATATTTTATATTTTCTGGTAGAACTACTGTAAAATCAACAGTCTATCTTTTGATATGATGTTTGGCAAAGTGGTTGATCGTTCTTTCATTAGAGAAATCAAAGAGTTAAATGTTCGATAAATATCAGTGATTTGTTAGATTTTCTTTGAATAATATGTTGTTAATTATTAATAACTTAGATAAATACCACACTTACATATAAATCACTGACTGAAATTATTCGATAAGAACTATTAAAATAAGTTCATAATAGTTCTAGCATCACATTAATTAAAAATGATATTTGATTATAAAATGAATACAATAGGTACTTTGAGGAATTAATAAATGAAATTTGTCTTCGATAAACAGTAATGATTCAATAAAAAATGGTATTTCGATTAAAGTTTAATCGAGTATCGAAATAAATTGAAGGAAAGTGTCGGCTTTTTTTATCCTTTCATCACTCGTGTAACTTGTTTTATCTTGGTTGCTTTTTTTAATAACCAATCATCGAGAATAACAGACAGACAAAGTCAGATCAAATGAACCTCAACGTCAATGAAATAAAGAAAGTCTTCTGCACCTGCTCTATACTCCCTTTCCCCTCAACTTGTCAACACAATGATAAAACCGAAAATTGCTTTTCTCTGGAATGCTATTCAAATTCTAACGAGATTGTCGCAACAACGTGTATTCCCCTCATAACTGCGTTCTACACTCTACTGTTAGGTCGGAAGAAGGAAACGTATTTTCCATCTACTCTAGTGAAAGAAAATCATTAGCTCCGGATGGAGAGAGGTATATAGTAGAAGTAGTGCGCCAACAAGTTTTAGATACGTATTCGATATCGAGGGTTTATTCAAAAAGGGAAAATGTAGTGAGCATCTCTTCTGCCAAGTCGTCGCAATTTTTCGAAATGGTCAATTTCTTTCATGCTTTCCCGTCACGATTGGAATTGGAGCGCGTCGAGGACTTCTCATATCGAAGAATGCGCGATCCCTGTATTGATAGATATCACATGTAGCTTTTCATGTATTGGTAGATGTACGTATACATGCTGGAAGAAAAAGAAAGAATAGAATGTGAATATATATATATATATATGTTAGACAAGAGGATTATGGTAGATGGCAGTTGAACAAGAGACAAAACTAACAGAAATCAACTTTTACTGATCACAGCCTTTGGCATTTTTGCTATTTATCAAAAAAAAATCGACATAGTATTCAACATACATCGACAACAGATCTAAAGCAATTTTTGTAGTTCATCGAAAAAATTCTGCTGATAGTTGGAAGCAATTCACAAAAGAATTCCATCAAAAAAAAAGGTTAAATTAATAGCTAAATAACAGCAAGTAAATTACTGACTTTATGATTCCGCAGACTCTGCATAGTTAATGGTTTAGCAGCGTTTATAATATTAAGGCTTTTAGCATTAAAGCCTTTAGTGTATTTTACTGGACCAGACCAAAGATGTGACGGAGTTTTGGGTTGCCACATTACGTAGAAATACATTGGTAAAGTAGTTGCGAGGGTTGGGATTTCTGTGTAAAGGGAACACCATTTCTAGCAAGTCAGTCACGAGAATGAGATGGTGAGTGAGAAGATAGTCTTGGAATAGGGTCTATTAAATGATCCCTATTATTACAGTTAGACTCTGAGATTCCCATTACCTTCATCTCAGTGGATTACGAGTTGTGGAATTAGCGTTTACTGATGTCGTGCAAAAATCAACTACAATTTTTATTTATCTTTTTGTTAATATCATCATCAAAAGGAAAAAAAATACTATATATTATAATCAAAAATAATTATTATAAACGATTGGAACAAAAAAGGGATTTAATATAATGATTGCCATTTGAAAAAATGGTTGAAATCAGAGAATAATTTGAAAAATAGTTGCAGTAAATTCAAGAAATGCATCAGTTGAATGGTTGGAAAATCGATTTTTATCTGAGATTTACTCCTACCATTTGGTTTTGATTTTTATCGAATTCTTTTTACTTTGGTCTATTGAACTAGGACAAAAAGCTAAGCAAGTGTAAAAGAACGAGTCAAGAACGAAAAGACTCATATTTTTCTTCTTAGTTCGTTCGACTGCACTCTTGGTGAGTAGTGAAGATGGTAGAGAGACAGTATAGTTCTTTGGATCCTCTTTTCTTTTATTTTTGATTGTTTTCCTAGCTACCGTCTCTTTTGTATCTACTCTTTGGCCGTTTATTTACGATTGATCCTCAACTATACGAAGAAAAATGAAAAGGATTTGATCTTGAAGTGGCAAAAGAAGAAATACAGTCTTCATATTCAAATATCAAAACTAGTAGAATGGATAAAAGCTTGTATGCTTTATAGATTTATTACTTTTGCACAAGAATATCATTATATTTCATTTGGCTCTTTAACTTTAATCTCATCTTACCTTGTCAATGCATGTTACTGATCTGATATCTTATCTAGAAACTATCAATATATGGTTTCCTTATGTCGAGAGACGTATATAGAGAAGAGCAGACGATATCAGCAGATAATATGGCTCTACTAAGAACTTTCCTCTCGTTTCAAGGGCTCAAGACTTCCACCCATTGATCACCACGAAAACCCTGTCGTGCTGATAATCAGAAACCCTCGTTCGAGATACAGCGCGAACGGAAACTTTCAGCAGTTGTAAACTTATTTTCGCGTGATCCCTCGATTATCTAGTGAACTATATACTTAATGCGCTTAAGGTTAGTAAACTTTTATACCTGCCATATTTTTTGCTAAAAAATTTGATAAAAAGAGGAAAGAAATAATAATAAGAATAAGAAAGAATAAAGATAAACAATAAATAAAATAAAATGAGATGAACCTAGCAATAATTTCTGTTGAAGTAAGTGATGTGTTTAGTAGCGTTGATGTGATCATTTTTTTTTTCAAGAATTAAACTGAAACAAAAAAAATTTTGATAATGTGTAGGGTATATTTATAGATAAATAATAGCAGATTAAAGCAATATTCTACTTACACATCAACAATTTGGCCTTTAATATTATTCATAGTCAGGGCTTGGTCTTCTTGAGCTTCGGCTCGTTAAATCAAATATCTGGCGTCACACCAAATTAAAAGCTCATTTAAATGCGTACAAAATAACTGGTCCACTGCAACAGATGATAATAAAATTTTGAATGAATAAAGACACGTTTTTAGAGAAGGGTAATGACAAGATTATAGTGACTTAAACAAAGGGGGATACCATCAGACAATGTTATTATGAAAACGTTGAAAATAATTTCAGGTTACACGTCGATATATGAAACTCGGGTAGGTGCATAGCAATTTTAAAGGATCGACTTCTGCATATAATCTATTTTTGAATAACCGGGTGTTTTGTGTCCTCTGAACTCATTTTTTTCTATCCCATGTGGTTTCATACATGTATATCCTTGATGCATACACATACATGTATATCCACTGAACACGAAAAAAAATATTCAACGATTCTATTTGGATCTGCACGAGTAATTTTTTGCCGAACATTCAGCACAAATAAAAAAAACTACATCCTGTAATTGCTTTCCGCAATGACCACACCCACAATTTTGGCGTGATGCAGCGACCGGAAAGGCGACAGTTGACGAGGGGCAGAAAATGCATCAGTGTACACTGCTCGGTATGTATCTTTTGGGCCAGCACCACTATTTCGCTTTTGTCATGGCTAAAGCCGGCGTAGCTTGAAAAACGTCCGGTAATTACAAAATTAAAAGAACCACGTCCTTCGACCTAGAACTATGGGTTTTTAAGTAAACGTATCGTTAAGCCAAAAGTGACCGAAAAGGACAGAAATTGATCACAATATACCTCCAAACCAAGAAGATGGCAGTAATTTTGTAGATTCGAAAATAATGGGCTTCAGAAGATAGCGTTGCAATTTTACTCATCTCACCCTCTCATTCTCATCTTCAGAGAGTGCCTCTGCTCAACAGCTACGTCTTGTATATTGCCGCGTCTGGAACGTAACCTGATGGTGCGCACAACGACCCGAAATTAAACTTCACTTTCGTCGGCCCCGATAATCAGAAACCGTTTCTTCCCTCGCTACTTATATATACTCATTAACGAATTTCCTCGGCTACCCTCCATGCGCACAGATGCCAAACTTACTTGCTTTAATAATCTACTGTCGCCAGCTGCTCAATTTTTTTGCTGTGCTCATGGTTTGCCGCGTTATGAAATCTCCATCTGAAGCAACGCAAAAGAAATAAAGAGACAAATTAAATAATAAATTAAATTTTTTATCTTCATTCTTTGGAACTCGTATGAGAAAAAAAAAGAACAATCTTATTTATGCTATCAATTTAAAATAAACAAACCATTATTCATTTCAGATACAAAAAAAATGAGAAATAGTGAATGATAAGCAAGAAATGAATAATTTACATTGTGAATTTGTGATGACTTTTATTATGTACTAAGAAAAAATACAATGATGTGCTTGGTATTATATGAAATAATCAACTCCAAGTCCCATTAAATTCTTCAGCAAGAAAAATATAATTACATCGTAATCATGAGATGCAACGAGGAAACAGTTCGCGAGGAAGTTATAAAGAAAAGGTTAAGATCATCTGACTTTAGTAAGCGAGAGACAGGGACGAAAGAGATTTACTTCACGGGGATGGTCTTGACGCAGTGTGAAACAATGGAGGGCGGAGAACATGAGCCTTAAGACATTGTTTCACGCGATGTAAAATTCAAGGTGATCGGTGTACACCAAGTTGAAATGACTTAGCGGGATCTTTGCTTTAAATGTGAACTCTAAAGAAACAGCTATTTTCATCCACACAAAACGGTAAACTACATCTAGAAAAATCACATTAGATAAATGTCAAGTTTACGCACAATAATATCTACAGCTCTTCAATTTAATAAGACTCTACTCGTCGATGAATGTGATAACAGTTTGCAATAAATTTTCAAACGCATAATATTATTTCTATTACTGGATAAAATATGATTTTATAAATTGTTCAATTTATGTATATTTTTTTATCAATTCAATTTACATTTCTTCTTGAAAAAACATAACGATAAAAACTCGGAACAAAAAAAAAATTTTAGCACGTTAATAAATTGAATTTGTTATCCATTTCTTGAAAATTTATGAATAAAGTTATTACTTTATTAACGTAATATAGTACAATTCAATAAGCATTTTTATAATGGAGAAATGAGGACATAAAAAAATTAATTGAAGAAATAATAAATTGATTTATAAGGGATAATATAGTTGTTGCAATTTATTGTGAGAATACTAAAAAGTTTATTAGTTTTTTCCATGCTTTGCTACATAAACAATGTTCTAATAAATGATAATTGGATCCAAGTTGATATCTAACTACTGTTAAACCTTCCCGTATAAAAAAATTTTGTTTCCCAAACGTACCTTAGTGGGACTATGGTTTTCGCCTTGCAAAAATAATTAACATGTAATGGGAGAATGATATATTGGCGAAAAAGTGTAAGATATAAAAATGAGCATAACTTCTATACTAATAATACTACGGGGTTGATTGAGGGCTTAAATGAAAGATACCGACGAAAGGAAAAAAATCGATATGGTAAAAATCATAATTGAGGCATAGTTTTTGCTAAAATTTCCGCAAATTCCCGTTTTACCCCATTTTAGAAGTGAAATAATTAATTTTTTATAAGTTTGATCCGATTCCGCATTTCTACGCATCAAGACGAAGAGAATGAGTCCTCGATCATCAAAATCGGAGAACTTTGATTTTTCGACCCTAAAAAATGGCAAGTGGTACCCCTTTCCATTTTTTTTGGCCAAAAAATAAAAGTTCTCCGATTTTCAAGTTTGACCACTCATTCTCTTCGTCTTGATGCGTAGAAATGCGGAATCGGGGCACAGCCCAAGAAAATTCACTTTAACACCCTTAAACAGGGGTTACATTAAATACAAATTATGGATTATCATCCCCTTGACTTTAAACCCTTATAACTCATGAACGGATGGTCCAATAATCATTTTTAGGGACGTTTTAAAAACTTAAAAATCTAAGCTAAACACACATATTCATAAAAAGTGTTTAAAAAATTTCTTTCACCCTTAAAATCGCTAAAATATAAAAAAAAATCGCATTTTTTTGGAAAGTTGCCAACTATTTTGGCAATTTTGAGGGCGAAATAAATTTTTTAAACTGTTTTTATGGATATGTATCTTTAGCTAAGATTTTGAACTTTCTAAATCTATTCTTATAATCATTTTTGGATAACTAATGTGAGAGTTATGAAGATCCAAAGTCGGAGAGTAGACGATTTTTGATCCTTATTCCGACTTTGGACCTCTGTAACTCTTAAACAAGTCATCTTATAATGATTTTCAAGGAAGTATATGAAAGTTCAAAATCTTAGCTAAAGATACATATCCATAAAAACAGTTTAAAAAATTTATTTCGCCCTCAAAATTGCCAAAATAGTTGGCAACTTTCCAAAAAAATGCGATTTTTTTTTATATTTTAGCGATTTTAAGGGTGAAAGAAATTTTTTAAACCCTTTTTATGAATATGTGTGTTTAGCTTAGATTTTTAAGTTTTTAAAACGTCCCTAAAAATGATTATTGGACCATCCGTTCATGAGTTATAAGGGTTTAAAGTCAAGGGGATGATAATCCATAATTTGTATTTAATGTAACCCCTGTTTAAGGGTGTTAAAGTGAATTTTCTTGGGCGGTGCCCCGATTCCGCATTTCTACGCATCAAGACGAAGAGAATGAGTGGTCAAACTTGAAAATCGGAGAACTTTTATTTTTTGGCCAAAAAAAATGGAAAGGGGTACCACTTGCCATTTTTTAGGGTCGAAAAATCAAAGTTCTCCGATTTTGATGATCGAGGACTCATTCTCTTCGTCTTGATGCGTAGAAATGCGGAATCGGATCAAACTTATAAAAAATTAATTATTTCACTTCTAAAATGGGGTAAAACGGGAATTTGCGGAAATTTTAGCAAAAACTATGCCTCAATTATGATTTTTACCATATCGATTTTTTTCCTTTCGTCGGTATCTTTCATTTAAGCCCTCAATCAACCCCGTAGTATTATTAGTATAGAAGTTATGCTCATTTTTATATCTTACACTTTTTCGCCAATATATCATTCTTCCATTACATGTTAATTATTTTTGCAAGGCGAAAACCATAGTCCCACTAAGGTACGTTTGGGAAACAAAATTTTTTTATACGGGTTGAATTCAAAAACAATAAGTTCCCCTTTATTAGTTATTATTGAGAAGATAACGTTTAATTAGCCTTTCGTTTAGCTTCATCAAAATTAATTGTTCATTCACAAATAGTCAATTTTACTAAACAAGATCAATTAATTATACTTCCATTTAAATATCATCTATTAACTCTCATTAATATTTATAAATAATAACAAAATTTATCTTTGTTACAATATTTATTATTGTTTTGAATTGATCAATGACTTTTTCGATAGCTAAAAAAAGAATTGCTTATTAATGCAAATCTCAATGGTATCTAAAGTTTACAACAGTATTTGATTAAGCCATTTCATTAAATAAAATGCTACACAAGTTAATATTATTGTTGTTTCTATCAACTTCCAATTAACCCAAAACAAAATCCGATTGTCGAGAAATCGGTTTTCTCGGATAGTAACAAGCACCCCAATAGATAATAGCATAGAGGAAATATCGGAATCTGGCGACAGAGTGGAAATAGAAGAGAGAAAAAGAGAAAAATCCCTAACTAAACCCGATGGTACGATTCATTTAGCACACAAGCCTCAACTTTATCAATTCGCTTTGGAATTCCAACTGCCACAGCGTTTGATCCACAAATCACGCAATATGCCTAGCTATTTTGATGCTTCGATAGGTGCTTTTGTAATAAAAGAATTTACATTTTGACAAAATAACTACCAGCAAAAATTCATCAATTAAAGTATTTTCAATAAGACATTCAACTAAAATTATTATATAGTATATTATTATGTTAGATAGAATAGTGAAAATATCTGTAGAATATGAGTTTTAAAATAGTAAATGAAACTTTTTTTATTTCTCATCAGAGTGTTTCAGTGGATCCAAAGCTTCGTACTAGTGTTGGAAACCTTGAGGCAATTGAGCATGAGGGTGGATTGGCCTGCAGGCGTGTACTCGTAATGAAAACCACCGCGATCTTCATCACCCCGTTCATGCAAGCCGCTCTCGCAGTCCAGCTATACAACTAACATTATTGTATACATCAGCAAGTTGCGCCGCTGCCGACCTTGCCTAACCAACGACCGCCGGGTGGTTTGCTGCATGATAGAGTTGGAGTAAGAGAGAAATTCAAGTACATACATAACAACAAGTAAAAGAGGATGAACAGTCAACGATGAGGGTACGAGGCAGTAGTTGGCCCAAGAAGAGACGTAGCTAAAACGAACGCGCGTGCTATACACTCGCACGCGCCCTTCTCTTTCTCTCTCTACTTTTGCATAAATTGCGCACTTTGCAATTCTAATTGACTAAAATTCATTACAAAGCACATACTGTAGCACTTGGACTAAAGATGTTCTCACATAACATCTCGAATATATCGGCATGAGATAACGGTGAAGAGCAAGATGAGACCATACATAAAAAGCAACAAAAAAATCATCAAGTACGCAAAGGTGGCCACACTTGATTCGATCCGCGTACCATCGATTGATACCATCCAAGCGGAACCGATTCGGCCCAACGCATCGAACGAGATACGTTCGATCGATCTATCGCTTCGGGGCCTTCTTTTCATATCTCTCCTTTTGAAGCAAATAAAGAATAGAATGGCAACTGCGGTGGCAAGCCAATATGACGGCACACACCAAGTAAGAGCTGAATTATAAAACGAGACTGTACCTTGACTTAGGTAGTAACCTTGAGGCTTAAGCCTTGAGCCACGGACCCAAGTCATGAGCCACGAACAGAGAGGGAGAAGCGACGAGAGCGTCGAGCCGATAAGTCCGCCCAAGTTCATTGCGCTCGACTCGACGCGCCCTTCTCTTTCTCTTTCTACCTTTCTCTCCAATACTACTTACTTTTCACTCTAATCGCGACTTTGCTTTTCTCTACCCATACTTTTTATTCCTCCTTTTCTTTGGTTCTCTTCTTCTTTGCTCTTGGCCTTCCGCGCACCGGACCGAGACCATCGAGATGCATGCACTTATCTCAACTCGTGCATGTTGCCCGCTGGCTTCTAACATTTTCGTACTCTTGGAAAAGAAATAAAACTTTAGATTCTGCAAATTTCCATGATATAATAGAATTTTTTCAAAGTATTAGATGCTATAATTAGCTAATAAAATATTCGCTTAATAAAGACATAATAAAAGTGGCTCATTAAATCTGTTTGATGTCTCAATCGACATTGTCCAGTTGAAGAAATTCAATCTTATCTCTTGGAATTTATCAGTTCGTATTTACGGAACTTGCCCGCGAGATTATTCCTTAAAAATAAACGCTTTCTATTCCTCTCATAAAACTTTTGGTCGACAAACGATTTCGTAATCGGAATTCCTGACTTATAAACATGAGCGAGTGCACCTTACCAGGTATTCCTATGAGTTAAAAAAAGACGGAGGCAAAGAAGAAGACAGACGAAAAAAGAAAAAACCAGATGGTCAACCGGTTATACAGGCTGATCACTGTGGTGATACTTTAAACTTGACACCGATCGTCTTTTAAGCATTAAGAAGAAATGACTACAGATCCGCATAATCGATGACTCACGAATGATGGACTCGATAGTGTAGAAATCCTGCTCAGTGTCATTCATGTGGATTTTACCGATGATGGACGGACGTAATCTTTAACATTATTCTGATAATCAGGGACTATCATGCTTGATTATCAACCTTTTATCGATTTGTTGTTGCATCAAGTTCTTTTCTTGTGTCTTTCAATCTTTTATCATTATTATTCCTTGTATACATTTTTAAATACATGATAATGACATGAAATATCTGCTTTGAATGGACATATATAATGGTAATTATTAATAAATGCTTGAAGTAGAAATAAATGTCAGGAAAACCTGAAGGAAGATTAGATATTTTAGGGAATAAGGTATTTAACCAGTAGATTGAATGATATCACTGCTTAAACAAGTCTATCTTCAAATTCTTGATCACTTTTTCAAGCATAAATATATATCACATACAAAACAAACAAATTACAATTTTTTTTATATTTGATTAATTATTCGATGAGATATTTTTCATTCTTTTCAGATCTATTTTAAATTCTAGAGAACTGATTCTGTCAAAGAAAAATACTCCAGCTAAAAAAATATTGAATATGGAAAAATTTTCTTTGCTAAAACATTTCAAGTGAAGTATTGGTGTTACTCTTTTACTTGAAAAAGGAAAAAAAAAATAATGAATTTAACTAAATAGTAAATATCCATCAACTATGTGATTTATCAAATCATCTCCATGAATGACCTTTTTATCTTCAGGTTTCCGTACATTATTGATCATTTTTCAACAGAATATTCCATCATATAAAAATAATTGTTATTTGTATAAACGTTTGGTATCGACTCTAATACCCGATTTTTATAGACAAGCTATCTCTGTATGTAAATTTTTCATTTGAATTCAATTTTTAAAATAAGTGAGTGTATTGTAGGAGCTTTTATCTCGTTGCTATCGTATACTCACAATACAAAAAAATTCAAGAGTTTTCATGGCTATTATATTTATATATGTATGAACATATATATTTGGCTGTCTATTGATGTACTGGTGAAAAGCTTACAGAAAATGGCATTCATCGAATTTCTATCGTCTTCTTGCAAAAGCATTACTGCGTAGGACGTGTGTGCGGTTACGTGTTTATTTGGAGGAAAATTTATTCTCATGTTCTATTTGACAAAAAAGAAGAACGCTAGAGTGAGCTTCGAGTGTAGTATTCATGGCGAAGTCAAGTACATAATGTATTACGTTTTCATTACTTTTTTTTTCTGTTCCAGTATTCTGAATTTTATTTATTAATATTCGCTTGTATATAATAACACGAAAGTATGCATAACAGCATACACGTGATGCAATGGTAAACCAGACTGCCCCAATAATATAACTCGAGTGGTTGAACTCATCGTGAGTGGAAGTTTACAGTACGCGCTCCACTATTGTTCAAATTATTTAACGTCAATGCCCTTGCGAGGGCGGCAATTGTTTTCGTGCCAGTAGAAAATTTGATCAGACTCCAACGGACCGTGGTTCGCGTGCGACGTTGAAGAGATGGACGTGCCCAACCAACCAATTCACGTGTCCTAAAACGAGAAGAGAATAATTTGAAAAAAAGAAAAGACAATGACAGAAAAGCATTTGACTATTCCCACGTTGGGAGCCCTTGCGTAATATTGAAAAAGTGGCAAACCGAGGAATGCTGATAACAGTTGTGCTGCTGAAAAATTGTTGCGAATGTAATTAAATGGCTGTCCTCTCGTCCTCTTCGTATTCTGGTCAAAACTCAAACGTACTCTAGGGCTTCCTGTATTGGAAGCCCGAACATGCTGGCCATTGACGAAAAAAATGTTCTACCAACTGCCATTTCCAACAACAGATATCATGGATCCTGGTATCTAGTGTTTCCGATTGACTACCGAGTGAAAAATCGACTAAAATTTTCATTTCGTTATAAACAATCCCTTCTCAAAAGTTTTTTAAACATTCCATGCTCGAAAAAATTCCATACCCGTCGAGTATGAGGTAAAATTGAAAGGAATTCGTGGACAAAAATGATTGTTAAAAATGTTTATTGAATAATTAAACAGTATCAAAAATGAGTTTTAATTGATAAAATTTCAACTATTGTAGAAATTGTACTATACTGGTGTCAAAAATTTTCTAATTAAATTTTTTATCACTTTGATGTCAGAAGCTTATTATGAGCTTTGTGTTGGCAAATTTTTTTCAAGTGAACATTGACAGTTGGTAAATTGAAAAAAATTTGCAAAATAACTGGCTTCAGTAATTGAATGTATTGCTTGCTATCAAATAAAAATAGGTTTTTAATCACAAATAACTGCATCAAAGTGTATCAATATTTGGAACTTAATAATATCTGACGAGCAAATAATAAAGTTGTCAATTAAATGCATATAAGTCTTACATTAATAATCATAGCAAAAGAAAACATAACATATTGAATTATATTAATAGAATTGATCCATATTGAATTGAATACAATGTAAATAATAAATAATTCAAAATATTAGAGTAATTATTTCTAGTAGTTCCATTATCATATTTCATTCTAGCAATAATAATGCTGATAAAAAAGAAATAAATTTCAATCTGTTATCATCTTAATGAAAATAACAAAATAAATATTTAAAAAGCAGTATTCATTAATATCCAACGTGGATTTAATTTCTATCTCCCAACCGATATTTAATTATTCTTGATTAAAATAATTAGATTTATCGAAACTGCTAGTCTCATTAATAATGTGTATTCTTATGATAGATTTTAGTTAATTCCCTATATATTTTAGTCTCGCGGGATTGGAATTAAATATGTTACAAGTGGATAAAAATAATATAAATTTTGTTTATTGGTAGCAAAGAATAATCACAAGTCTCCCGCCGAGTATCCGGGTAATCTTGACTTAGAGTAGCAAACTTATTTGCCTGGTGTCTTGATACGAGGGTGAGATACAAGAGTCACGATAATTCATCGTGAAACGACCGCCCGCGGACGTTTATCTTTCGCGTGTAGGGTAAACGGCCTCCTCTCTTCTTTTGCTATATCTCACTTGCTCCAGGATACGCAGTAGCATACAGGAGTAACCGCGACAAAAAAAAGAGCGAAAGATCAACGTTAAAGAGGAGAAGAGGTTGGGTACGTTTATAGCTGGAGGCATGCATGAACAAGACTGGCCCAAACGCAAAGTCTCTTGGCAGTGACAGGACGTACCAGTAATCTCTACTTTTATCATCTTGCAAATATTCTCAAGACTATTTTGCTAAGAGAAAAGGTGAGATAAAATGACGGGAAAATCTCATGGGACATTATTAAACAATATGCGACATCAAATACACTGAATATGCTACAATGGTGGTGGCAACACGTTATATACTTTAATGAATAAATCGCAAGGAAATCTCATTCGTGGGAATTGAGTCAGGGAATTCTCACATAGGAAATGAAATTTCACTAGTCTTCTAAATTTCTCTTCATTCATTTGCAAGGCTTTGTGCTTTGCATAAATATAAATCCTTTACTTGTTTTGTCATTTAAATCTTCATTGTCAATTAAATTAATAATCGCGTGCTAGTAGCGGATTCCATTTCAGTTGTTAACCCACTCATATTGATATCGTATTTCAATAAATAGTTACATTTCCAATATCTAATCGATACTGTCTTCGATATTAATTTCGCAAAATTAATTTGATTAATATTATACTACATTAAAATCACTCAAATATGAATACAGTTCAAGCTATGAATATTTAAAGACAATTAATACTGCATTCTCTCAATTCCACTGGATTAAATGCAATCAATAATAAAATGATGTCATTTACATTCTTAAGATGATGTTTTTTTTTTCTATAAAAAAAACTTGACAGACTTACAACGAAAAAAGCTGACAAATACAGAAAAAATATGCCAACTAAAAGTGGAATGTTTATTTACCTTGGAGCTAAGTTCCCATTATTAACATGGGTAAATAATAGGAAATATTTTCTATTCAAAACAGAAAACATTCTCCATTTGACAGTTGGAGATGTCGGTGGTTTTGAAGGATCACGTGTGATGGTTTCACTTAAACCTTAAACAGGAATGAAACTTATACATTGTTTCCTTTCTCTTTCATCCTCCCTAGCCAATATTACGACGACACTTGAAGAGATACACCAGGAGCTCTTGCTTACAAGGACATATGGATGCTGTGAAGAAAGTGAGACACTCCACTATGTTGTGTTCGTCAACAGGAGGCGCGTCTACATGCCCACCAACTCTGGAATCTTTATTAGTGTCAAGGGAGCTCTTGAAAAATGTCCTGTCCCTTGTATCGCGAAATGTTTCTCTTTGGCTGCATCACCAGCATGAACACGCACACAGTTGACTTGATTCTTTGATGTTGACTATACGTTTTTCACCTTTTCCGCTTCCCTGCAACTAAATAACATCTTGTTACAAGATCTATCAGATTGGATGGCAGTTACTATGATTCATAGAGACACAATCGTTGTGACATTCGATAAAAATTTCAAAAGTAAAAGAGCCTCGCTGCAGGTTAATAATTATTTGACATTCTCCTACAGTGATATCGTAATATAATCTAAGCAACTACATGGATTTATGTTAATAATATTATTAATGATAAACATGACAGTTGTGAGTAGAATAATAATGAATAAATTTTGGTTTCCATTTCAATCATGTCTTGAAAAATGACAATATGACAAAATGATGACATTTTCCCAAAGAATATCCAAAAGTAGCACAATTTCTTATCATTTATTTAGTTTGTGTTTACAGTTGTTTATTAATATTTATTCGAGTAAAAAAATGTTTACTTTCAAGACTGTCGTCTATTTGAAATTTATTTATAAATTTATTGAAAATTACCGAAATTTAATTTTGATTTTATTGAATTAGAATCAGATGTCTTTAATATAAAAAAGAAAATAAATTTTCATATTATTCTCTTTGTCTGTATCACTTTTTATTCTAGTTTTTTATATACTTTTATTCAGACACGACTTTATATTGACGTCGTCATATAGTTTTCTACTTCTCAGCACAACATATACTTTTCTTTTTTCTCTCCCTCCGTTCACGAGATCCTTTTTTGACTACTATTTGTTTGGCGTGTCTACAGTAAGACTGGTAGGTAAATCTTGTTATATTCGTCGAGATAAGAAAGAAATTGCCACAATTACAAGAAATTTTCTCAAATGAAATTAAAAGCGCCACGAAGTGATAAATCATGCTTTTCTCAATGGAGAAAATAACTTGACAATTTTCTTTTTAAAATCTACTTAAAATATAATTTTTTATATTGCTGTTTGATTGCTATTAAATAATTTTACAGATGAATATAACCATTAAAACAGTATTAAACTATAATCATAAAATAATAATGATAATAATAAAGTGAATATGATGGATGGAAGTACTTTTTATCATTTATCGCAAATATTATATCTCACGAGATTAATTCTCGTACTTTACCTTGCCAAGTACGCGATAGCACTTCTTGCAGAATGCAGGCAGATGTTCTCAAGAGGGAAAAGAAGCTACACACAGAATAATCGAATCCCGTCAAACGTCGAAACGTGATCGGTTCATTCTCTCTACCTCTTCTCCTCCTTTATTTCTTCATCTTCTATCTTCTTTTCTTATTTTCTCGCAAACATCACGCATATAAGAACTCACTCTGGCTCTAAAATTCAAGAATTCCTATGGAATGTACCGCATCGGATCTTATTCGGTGACTGGCGACATATTTTAGTTTGGACGACATTCGTGAGCCGACCAAGATATTAGGTCTCGACGTGACATCTCGTCTCATGGCAGATTATCCAAGTCACGTCGTTATTGCTTTTCTGTGGTGTGTTACGATCCATTAATCCCACTTTTCGTTTCTTGACTGTCACCTCTTCACAAAAACGCAATACTTTCTATGTTTTCAGCCGTGTGAAACAACCTGAAACACACACTTAAATTAGTCTCTATGGAAAAATTACTGTCAACATAAAAATAACCACTAAGCATGGGTGTGAATGAGTCCAGTCAGGACAACCTTTACAATCATTTTAACGCTGCATTTTGAAAAGAATGAATACTATTGTATTCATTGTTAGATATTATAATTGAACTGATCTTTCAATAGGTAAAAAGGTTATCATTTGATATATTTTATTGAGACGTAAAAGATGAGACAAGTTAGAAATGTCAATAGAGTTTCGAATTTAGGTTTCTAATTTAAACTATCAAGTCCAAGCTAACGTTATATTGATCAATGCTATTTATTTCTAATAAATAGTCATAAGCATTTTTTATTTCAGTCAACTAGAATTTAAAAACTGATAATCTAAAAATTTTCAACAAAATATTAAAGTTAACAGTCATTAGAAATATTTCTCTTAAACATTGGACAAATTAACATCTTGGAAAATTTGAGGAATAATAGCATCCATGAAATGAGCTTGATATTTTAGGATTAATATGAAGAACTGAATCATTAGACAGATACGAGCTCTTTGAAATAAAGCAATTGAAATCGATGTCACTTTATGTCAATAATAATACTTTATAATTATATTAGCACGCAAATAGTAATTTATATTATTCCATAAAATTTAATAATTTCATTCATAAATTATGGTAAATGTATTGATATCCCAATGATGAAAGACGATTATCTTGTGGCATTCAGTCATATCAATGATAGTATGGAGTAATTTGTGATGTTAAACATTTGTTTGTAACTCAGACTACAAAGCATAGAACAAAGAAGCTGTGTTTAACTATTCTATAGGTCAATTTATAATATTATAAAATTTAGATGTATAGCTATTAGCTAACATCAGCGTGACTGGCCCACAGATCCAGAATGAATCATCTTGGGATTCTCTTACAGCCCCCAATGGGTCATCTCTGAACATATAACCCAACATAGCACTTATTTAATCTGACATGCGACATGACAGATTCTTCGTATTACCGGTACATGTTACACGAATTGACTCTAATTTCCGGACTTTAACGATCAGCAATTCAATGTTAAATAGCCAGTTATTCGCTTTAGAAATTAAATAACACAACTTTTCAATTTATCTTAATACTCTGAGACTTTAAATTGATTGTCGTTCAACACACAGCTTTAGAAAAGTATAAAACTTGTTTATCTGCAAAAGAATTGCTTTTGAATTTTTTATATCTATAAAGTTACTTCAATTTACGTATGTTAACACTTAAAGACTTGACATAAAAATTTTTTTATCATCATCTCATTTTTAATCAGTTTAAAAATCTGATAAAAAAAGTTCGTTAAATGATATCAAAGTATGTCTATTAAAACTTTAATCATTAAATTTATTTATAAATGGTTTAATTTAAACTCAATAGGAAATTCTTCATTTTATACACATTAAATGTTATATAACAAAGATAATATTGTCCTGAAATTGTTTCCTGTTAATGAAAAAAGATGAATGAAACTATACTAATTCTCCCCTCGCCTATTCTACTTTGCAGATTACAAGTCTTACTACTTTCTTATTTTGATTAGCAGACGAGAGAAAGAGAGAGAGAGAGAGAGAAAAAAAAGAAAAACGGCGTGAGTTTGAACGAGATGTTCCTTGAAAGCCTGTAATAGGTCGATTTATATTCAGAGTCGTGGTTAATAGCCAAAGAAATTAGCGGGTGGGTGTAGACAGCTCGTGATCCTCTTTCTTTCTGCAGTGATTGTGTTCTTCATTCCATTTGTTTCTTTCACCTCAGTTCTTCTCTTTTCTACCTCGTCTCGTTTCTTTTATACATCTTTTATGTATCTAAAATAGTTCTACAGGCATCTGACAGTTTTGTTTTATGTTGCAAGAGACTATCTACCATAATAATAACATTTTCAAATAACTAATTATGTTTTCGTTCATTAAAAAAAACTCTTGTGAACGAAGTCTACACGGGTATCAGTATAATGGTAATAATAACTAGTATTATTATTACATTGAAACTGAAAAGTAAATAATTGAGATAAGAAAATAGCCATTCTTGAACCTGAAAGTTAGTTTATATTAATTAAAGTTTAGGATATCAGCAGTATTACGAAGATAAATAGTAAAAATAGAATTATAGAAAGGATAATTTAATAAGAAACAAATAATTGGGGAGAAGAGTTGATCAAATATATCCAAGCTCTTACAGATTTATTTTATAAATAAATTGATCTTGCAAGAGCACTCGTGCTATAAATAAGTTTATCCACGTTGAACAATCTCAGGTAATCTCAATCACTTTCCAAGGCTTTCTACTCAATGTTCACTTATTTCTTGTACTCCAATTTTATTAATCTTATTATTCATCAATGCGGCTCTGTAGTTTCTAGTTCTCTACCATCTCGAATATCCATTATTGACGTCAAGTGTTGAACCATCGACCACTGAAGTGATTATCCACTTCTTATAGAGATAGCTCGTGCGAAAAATCCAGCTCTTGAACACTTGTGCTCAGTATCTCTAAAGTTTTACCCCAAAGTCGGTGGTGGATTGAAAAGTTGTCGAATCTTTTTTCAGATTTTTAGTCTTTTTTCTGTACTAAAAAGAATTAGAGAAAGTAAAAAAAAAGTCATATGATTTTAAATACTCTTCTTAAAGTATAAAGTCAAATTTTTTTCATGATATAAAGTTTTTTTTTCTTTTTTATCCATTTGAGGAATAAATTCACTTTATTCCAGATGCGCTTTTTTAGCGGATATAAATTCAGTCCAATCGTTGATTATCCACGAAAAAAGACGTAAGCTTTTCGTGATATCCAACGAAATATATCAGGATTTCAAAGGAGACATTTCCTTCGTTCACCAAACGAGTAATCCACTCCCATTGTTGAAAGACTTTAATTCCAACTATCGTACATCAATTCTGAACAGTGATGCGTGCCTCTTTCTTATACCTACTTCTACCTGACCCCAAAAAGTCAGTCGAAGGGGACCTTTGCCTTTTTCATCGTTGTGTTGAATCTCTCTCAGAACTTTGGGAGGAAGACATTTCCAATGAACCGTACATTTCTTACCGATGAAATGCAGTTAAATTCCTCAATAAGTTTCGAAATCATTTGAAGAATGATCTGTAAAAAAAAAATGGAATAATATTTTGATTTACAAAAAAAAAAGAAGATAAATGTAATATCTCGCGTTGAGATTTCTTGTCGCCTAAAGAAGGAAGTAGAGAATGGGATGGTTGCTCATAAATTCCCGATGGGAAATTTGGTACTTTAGTTTATTGTACAAGAGGGTGGATTTATCGGCGTATGTATGAGTTTTCTGACATGTCAATGTCTGGTTTAGAATGGCAAAGTGCAGAGCTGAGTCATAGTAAAGAGTTGGAGACATACAACACTTTTCTAAGCTTTTATAGTCGTGTGTTACTGGTGGAATCGATCGAGTGCTCGTTGAGCACGAAATTCCAATGCTTATCGCACAGTCGCCTCGGGGACGACGTAGTACCTTGGAAGCATCACCACGCCTTTCGTCTTTTTGTATACTCGACGACCTTTCCTTTACTAAGCGCTCTTTTCAATGCTTATGAAAATAGAAAATCCAATAATCCTCATCCTCGTTGAGCTAGGTATTTATTGGGTGAAGAGTCAGCTATTCAGGGTCATGATAAAAATTTCGGTGACGAGCTAATCGATCAACGACGCTGATATTCACATGACGGGATGACAGGAGTCAAAATAAAATTGGTGGGACAGAAAAAGAGACACTATAACCCAGGGTTTGTATTTAATCATACATAAGTCAATCATTTATGAATAATCTTCAATGAAATAGGCAGCACAGTAGATCCATATCCAACAAGTATTCATATGATTCAGTAGTCTGACAAATACCAAGGGAATACTCTTTGGGTGAAGCAACGAATCTCTTAAGAGGTCGAAGAATCCAACAACTTCTAGATGAGAATAAGGTAGAGGAGACGATAGAGAAGAAGAAGCAGAAGGGTGCTCCCGGGATGAGAGTCGAAACCCAACATGTTCAGGCAATGTCCCCCGCTGCGAGACACTCGTAATGACCGACTCGATCTTATCAAGCTCTAGAGCCAGAGCTTCCTTGCCATTGTACACTTATCTCTGCTTCTTCGCAGTCCCTCAAGACTCCCTTCACTCTGCTTACCCTCTCACCACTGTTCGAAGTTTCTCCCGCGACCAAACACTATACATTCGCAATCCCATCCTGCATCTCACATAACGTAAAGCCTCCGTCACTACGACGTACATCGTTTCTTCTGCCATCTGTGTCACTGTCTTTTTTATACCATCTCTCCCGCATGTATATCACTCTTCTTCCTTAACTCTTGTCGCAGCTCTGCCGATTTAAACAGCGAGCGCAGGTGCACCTCTACAGCATTTATTCTCCATCAAAGACTTTTCCGACGCGCCGAACATCGTTAATGAGAATGCAAATAGGGGGAAGCGATACCTGATAACGTTCCCTCTCGTTCCGCTTCAACTTTTGCATACTTCTTAATATACAATATATATTTATCCGTGGGGCGTTCCACTGAATAGCCATTAAAATTGCAAGAAATTTCACTGGATTCATTGAAACCTCGAAATAAAAAATTGTTCGACCAAAGTCGAGCACCATTTAGCCTCCAGCCGTCAACCTATCTCTGGTGGAGAGACAAAAAAAGACTGAATTGCCGGATGAAAAAGTTGAAATTTTAATGCCTCCGAGGCCGGCTGGTTAATCATGGAATTTTTGTTGCTCTATATCTACCTCATAAAATTTTTCGCGCGAAAAGTCATCTGGTCTCTCATTGTCGTCGTCTCGTCCAGCTTTCCCCCAGGCTACCAGACATCACCCCTATCCTTCCTTTCCTTTCTACTGCATGCTTTTCCCTCAAGGGAGTTGTGCAGCACTCGACGGAAAGAAAAAAGAGATCGTTAACGCATCGAGGACTCAAGGACTAAAACTCTTTCTAGAGTTTGCAGACTCGTTGAAAGGTTCAGAAGGTGAATTTGTGTATACACGTCTGTTATTTATACACATCCTTCCTAACTTCTTCATCTCTAGAATCCGCAGACTTTTCATCATTCACCAATGTCGTATACTACCTTCAAATCGACGGATGCATGCATATTAATGTAGTTGGTCGGATTTGAAAGTTACTTGGAGAAGGTTGAAACTTTGTAACCACCACTAACAGATTTCAACCATTTAACTCCTTCTTCCTATCTCCAGCTTTTCCGCAGCCTTTTTTCCATTTGTCTTTATTCATTTCACTCTTCTCCACTCAGCTGAAAGCATTCAACTCAACAGACCTACTCTCATGAGAAGGTCATCCCTTGAGAATGAGAGAATGCTTCGCGTGCATTTACACGAATGAGGATTTCAGATCTTTGCTAAATGCAAACTCAAGGATTCCTCTTCTCCTATTTTCATTACGATTATACTTACATGAAAATTTTAATGTTTTATTATTGAAGTCAGATCTTGCATAAATTTTAAGTTAAAATAAAGTTTGTTATTAAATTGACGTCTGCTTTTAAAAAGAAATTAGGTTGAAATTTATGAAAACATACTCTTCAATTCCTGAAAGATAAACATCTTGAATGATAAGTGAATAATTGAAAGAATTTCATTTGTAGTCAAGCAAAAAAATCATACATGCAATATTCAATAAGCAATCCCTATTAATATTACTCAATGTTATAGAAAGAAGGCATGTCATCAACCTCACAATAAATATAAAGAATATGTATGCTACTGCTCAATAAATTATGTTTTATTTACATGTTATATTTTCAGTTGGTGAATAACTTGTCTTTTTTTCATTACTTAACATCTTTTTCTTCATTTCTCTTTCTCTTATTTAATGTAGATACAGTGCACACAAATTTTCAGTATGCGTAAGCAAACCAAAAGGTAGAATGTGCTTGGTGCATCTGCAAGTAAGATTCAACGTCGTGCAATGGTAACCAATGTGGTTACTGCCAACAGCATCGTGAATAATCCCCAGTGAATTTTCTCTCCTTCTTCTACTTCGCCTTCGACCGTTTCCCAGTTCAGGGGCAGCTTTATCTTCTATTGGAAAACTCTAGATTTGAATAAAAAATCATGCACCGTTGGAGACAGCGACCACATTAATGCTTTCGAACACGAGTGATATAAAAAATATTGGAAGTTGACTCGATCATTTTGTATTGAGAAAATATGTAGCTTTTATTGGTGTTGAATAAATATTTGAGCTCACTATAAAGAACAAGAGATGACAGAAAAGAGAGGAACAACTTGGATTTATTGAAGAAAAAAAGATGATATTGATGTAGAGAAGAAAAGAATGATGAATTTTATAAATTGGATGATTTAAAAAATATTTTTTTTCAAACGACCACCAACTGTGTAGGTCACACGATAGATTCTCGGTCGTTGGTGCATCAGTTAATCTGGAAATAAAATCGATGGCTTACCCTGGATTTTGTCACAGGGCGAAGCTTAACTCCCTCAATGTTCTAAATGGACGCAAGGTGGAATTCTCGCATCGAGGGCGTCATCCTAATGGAATCCGGATTTATATCTCAACCCTCTAGACCGGAACGAGGTACGCTGAGTCCAAGTGTCTTGGAGCTTGATGGCAGGCGATTGAATATCTGTGTTCTCTGCCTGGTTATCCGCAATAGTTCAATTCGAGAAATCATGGTCAAACAATGGTATAAGTTAATAGTCTCAGCTTGATTTGATTTTATAGTGAGAGAATATTGAATATCATGAACATGTAACGGTATCTTTCGATCATGAATAGACAATATTATATGTTCATGTATGTATTAGAATTAGAAGTGTAATCGATATGTCCTGAATAGATAGCCCGAAGTCAAGTCCTTTATTTCACGCTTGGTGGAGATGAAATGGGTGACTAATTACTAGCAAGTAATTAGTGGAGATGTTAGTTTGCTTTTGTGTCACGGCACATGGCAACCGCAATCGTCCCACTGAAACAACTATGTGCAGTGCCTCATCAAGCTTACCAAGAAGTATACCACACATATGGTCTGTTGGTGGGTGCTGCCACTGTGAAACCTTCATCTCGTTCTCATTTCCGTGGTAATTCTCACCCTTAACGACTTCTTCCCTTGTCTTTATACTGGAAGCTTTCCCCAAAACTAGACCTCCAGGTTGCTTAGCTAGTCTCTTTAATTAGGCACCATGACTCTCAGCCTCGGTCTTGTTAACGTCGCTGTAATTTCCCATACTCTTACAATTAGTGCCGTTGGCACCCAAGTGTGTCGTTTACCCTCCTTTCTCAAGCATTCTCTAACATCCAAAAGCTTGTCTTGTGTTAAGAAAATTGCGTCATGTGCTCAGCATGAGTTAAGTATCATTTGACGACCAAGACGAATTTCCAGTTGATCTTCAGCCAGTGTCAAGAGATGAGTACACATGATATGACTCGTGTTTTTATACCCGGTCAGTGTATATATACAGTTTACACAATGAAATAAGAGAGAGGGCAATCTTCCAGGGGGGTCTTAACTTGTAGAAGCTTCGAGAAGACCCGAAAAGTCGTGACCAGGCCCCACGGAGTGCGGTTCATGGATCGCGAATGTTATCCATTCTGTACAGGGTACACTGTGGAATACGATTTAAGGACAAGAGAAAGGGTGGAAGAGAGGACAGGACGCGTGAGAGTGGACGAGATTGATCCTGCTGTGCGACCTCTGCGGTCGTTCGAGATCCGGCCAGGCTAGGAGTGAGTGAGCAAATGCAATAAGCGGATTAATCTAACGTAAACTTGATCCGTTACCTGCAGCCGATCGCTAGGGCTGTTGCACTGATAATGAGAAGCCGCAAGATGCACCTCTATCCTGATGAATGAACAATTATATTCTCTTGACTTTTACTTTCTATTACTTGATCTCCGTCACAGTGAAATCGACCTAGAAATGATCATAAATTTTAGAGTTTAATTGTTGCCTTGACATACTTTTCAAGAGTTACATCATAGTTAGAAGTTTAAGGTAAATAACTAATTGGTCCTTAAGGACTAACAAAGAAATGATTTATGATGTAACATTATCATTCGAGGTTCTTCAAAATAAATTTTAACCAATTAATTGTTTAGAAACAAATAAGAAACAGTTGTTGTTAATAAATGTAGGCCAGACTCTTGATGTATAACTTGTTACTTGTTTAAAAAAAATAACAAACAAGCTTCTTTGTTGATTTTGTTTTTTAAAAATGATTAATTAAGTCTCTGAAAACTAGTAAAAAATACCATTTTTATGATATTTCTATCAGTAATTATAATTAATGACCTGTTATAATTATCAAAAGAAAATTGAATGGAATTATTATTCATTAATTTAATTAAATTGTCCAATTATTTATTAATAATATTTCTTTCGGGATCATGAAATGTAAGCTCCAATATTCCATAAAGAATAATATAATAATTCTATAAATAATAAAATATAGCTATAACATTATTAAAAATATTAATATTAAAAAAAATATAGATGAATTGGAATTGATGAATGAATGATTGAATGTATATGTATATAAATATTTGACAATAATTTTATTATCTTCATTGTTTCGAAAATCTAACTATCAAAGAATAAAACATTAATCACGTATTTTATTCAAAGTATGCTTCAATTATTCATAATCTTATTTTCGATTATATTTTACCATACATTTATGATGATATTTCTGGCACAACAGGCAACCTAACAACCCTTCCAACTTTATATAACCACTCAAGCGTCTCGTGTTGGATAACAAATGCCACCAGCGTATGGCTTATATGATTGTCAACTTTCAATAGATCTACAGAGGATTCTCGAGCCGTTCAAATGCTGCTAATAATTGAATAAAGCTACCAATTAATATCAAAAATGGTCGTAGAAATGAGCAAAACTTTTTTCATCAATTTATATTATTTTTTGTTTTTAATATAATTGGATATACAATCGAGAATAAATATGATATTGGTAAATTGAAATTTCAAAACCTTATTTTTATTATTCATTTATTTATTTTCAAATGAAAATTGGCATTAAAAATTGACTGTTTTCATATGTAATTCTTTTTTAAGGAGGCTGAAATAACTAAGGGTGTATTGTTCTAGTCTACACAAAAGTAATGTTGAAGTAGGTTGTTAATTTGCAATGTATAGAGAGTCAACGTTGAATAATAGGACAATAGAATTTTTTCATTAGAGTTTTGAAAAATTTTTGAATGTATGCTATTTCTATAAATAAAAACCAATCGACTGGATATCAGTGAAAAAATAATTTTCTAAAGATTTCAATTTCCAATAAAAAATTTATTCCTAAGTATTTTTTATTTTACCAAAAGTGGTTGAGTTTGTTCATCATATATTAGTATATTGATGTTCCATATTATTTACTCTCTAAAAATATATCAGTGAATATTTATTATTTTTAGTGATATGTAAATAATTATCTCAATTTGAACAGTGATACTTTTATGAATACATTTATAATTAATAATTATACACTGTTTCACAATAATTTTAATTGATTTAATAGACATGACTTTAAAAAATCAAATTTTTTTGTAATTTTAAAAAATTTTGAATTCAATGTCATTCACGTAAAATTACATATTTAATATTCAATTGAAGATTGAATGCATCAAAAAATCAAATCACTATTGAATTTTTTTATCACAGTTCATTTATTCATGATTCACAATAAAAAAAAATCATCATAATAATATATATGTAGCATCAAATGCTCTCATCAGTAGCAAAAAATGAGAACAATAATAAAAAAGTAAGCAGGGATTTTTCTTTTTATATATGTCATTTAAATAATCATCGTCATCATTTGACAGAATGAAAACGCTTCTTTATAATAGCAAAACAAGCATTTCACACATTTCTAGTGAATTGCTCAGAGGGATTTATAATATCCAGCATTATAGATATATATCTTGAAAAGAAAAACATTTTCTTTCATATAATTTAAAGATAAAAAATATTTACTCAAATCAGTGTCGGTTACACAAGTTGGTGTATTCTACGGTCTGGTGAGTGTTTTCAGAGTTCACGTCTTTGCTATTCATCAAATAAATTATAGAGATATATGTATATACATGTAGGTATTATACAAGGTACTCCTATAGAGTATATAGACCACTAGTATGCAGATACTCGACGTCCTCTAGTGCGCACGGCTCGTCATCCTTCAGAGTACTCCCGTGGGACAAAGGATCCTATCGTGTACGAACGATGTGTTACGGCTGTATACACCTGGCAATACATGCATATAGTGCAAGCCTCGGGAATGCGCCGGCGAATGCGAAAAGGATGCACACTAGTACACTTATATGCACCTGGGTGAGAACAAGTACATACCTATACTTCTTCCCACATGTCTGTTTTACTCTTTTTCTTTCTCATTTTGCGTGCATCGTTACACATCTTCCCATCACATGTCTACTGATTTGTGGCACTCGCAGCCATTTGGATACCCTAATGCGCCATGCGTGCACGAAACATCAGGTGCTATCGACTTATTTTTTTATATTTACACCCAAAGTATGACAGCAATTTTATGCCCGTCTTTTATGTATATCCTTTAACAAATGAGTCTTTTTGACTTTGTTTCGATCGCGTTTCTCAAATAAAAAATTCTACTCAGACAGCATAAATTATTTTTTTTCAAAAAGATTTAACCCTCTAATTATTTGCGTTATGTATAGACATATATATCCACGTAATTGACTATTTATTGAAGTTTTGGTGAGTCAAACGAGAGAATATTTGATGAAATTATTGACAAAATGAAACGATGTTTATATAGAAAATGATGGTTTTGACGCATAAAAGATAATGAATTAATTAAAAGTGAGTAATAGATGGTAACATGTATTTAAGTAGAGTATATATTTGAGCGTTACTGAAAATGTCTTACCACTCTTGGTGAAATAGTTATGATGATAATTAACGCGGTTGTTGGCAAGCTTGCAATATTATATTCAAGCACATCAATCCACTGTGGCTTCAAAGCGTCACAAGAGAAAGCTTGTCTCTGGTTGTTGAGGTGTTATGTCTCTGAAGTTAAACGGGACGTTGTGGAAGATGATAAAGGCACTTTCAGACCATTAATAACACTACCTACTGGAAGCAAAGCAAAGCAAGCATACTGTTTAATGCAAAGTAAAGACGATTTTTTTTTTGGTAAGCTGTAAGAGACATCAGTTGTATTTTAGATGCAAATGGTATGCTATCTGCATGAAAAACGTATGGAGCAACTTTACTGCAGGAGAACCGTTTCAGTTGCTTAACATTTCTACCAAGTCGTTGGCGGTATAACTAAAACCGATCGTTCGATTATGGCTTTAAAAAGCCTTGAAATATCTGGAACGAATGGAACTCAGAGAAAATGAGAGAGAAAAATTCCTTAGGGCTTTGCCAAAGTGTCTTAGAAACCTACAGAACTATATTCAACGGTTTTCGTTAATGACTAGGGACTAATCCTTGACCTATTTTGAATGAATAACATTTTCAAAAGCTTCTTTTAACTTGGCTATAAAAATCTTACTAAAATGATAAAATTTACACCGTTGGAATTTTTTTATTTATTCAACTTTCGTTGAATAAAAGAGTATAATTCATTTCAAGTCGAAAAAATTCTTTGTTCCAAGGTGGAAAAAAAGAAATTTACTTTGTTATAGTGAATTTTTTATGTTTTTTGTGTGGCTAGGGTTTATGATGAAATTATCCTTTCTAAGAAAAAATTATGAAATTAAAATTCGTTCAGAAATTCTTGATGGTTTTATTAGTATACTCAATTATATTTTTGGTCGATTCTTTTTACGTAATTTTAATTATTTTTATAAAATGTTTATTTTTTCTATTTGTTGACAGCTATTTGATTGACAGTGAATTATTTACTCTACAATCAATTTTAAATGTTTCAAAATATTAAGGACACGTAAAATATGGTATAATTTTAATTTTAAAATTCTTTGAGTTAATCTATAAAGATTATCTAGAGTAATTACAAGTTTTAATATTAATTTTAGGGTTATTTAAAACCACTGAATCATTTCCCTTGAATAATATATCAGACGTAATAATAAAAAGTATAAATACAATTTTTCTTTCTTAAGAAAAAAATACTACTACTACCTATGAGATGTAATTATTTGATAAAAATAAAATTACTATAGCGGCAAAAATTTTTTTTTCTGCAATAATATCTCTAAAATAATATTATTTCTGCAAATAATCTAGGTTAAAATTTTTTTCACACTAGTAAAACACGATTACTGTAAATTTATTCATTTTGCTCGACTTGTCAAACACTTTCGAGTCAGTTGAAATCTTTTCTTTTAACATTCTACAAAAATCTGCTGTGAAGCAAAAGATTATGAAGTTAACTCAGCGGGAACGGAGTAAAGAATAAGAGAAGACAAAGAATAAACTCTCAAAAATTGACCATGAACTTTAAAAATAAGTCAGCATGTCAGAATTTGACTTGAACAATAATTGTCCCTTTATCGTGTATTATTCACGGCTTAAAATGAACGTTACGCGTGCCAGTACTGAATAAGCAAGAAATGAAGGGATCAATAAGAGAAAGTGTGACGGACAAATATTCATCTATCGATACCTTCTGACCCAGTGCCGTTAGTTTCTGATTAGACTTCTTTTTGGTTGTTAAAGAAAATTTATGAACCGTCGCAAATATTACTGTCAGTTATATACGTGCTAGTAGGTCAAGGAAGGCAAAGTATCCTGGACCCATGCTGCGTGAGTATAGATAACGCGTTGAAAAAGGGCCGGGAGGTCTTACAGGTATGATGACTCTTAGCACAGACACGGTACCTTGATGACCAAACACATTTTTTTTTTTATTTTCTTATTTACTTCCAAGAGTCATTCAATCTGTAGTTTTTTACTACTTCTGTCCTTGGTGTCCTCACTATATTTAATAAATAATATAGGATTTATTTTGAGATCTATACTGACACTTTTTATTTGGAAGGATAAGTTCAGACTTGACCCTCAGAGACTCATAGAACTTTGGTACTTCATAAGAACATGACAAAGAAGAGGAAGAGAAAAAAAAAAATAAGCGAGAGACAAGCAATTCTACCGGAAGAAGGACCTGGTCTTGTGCCATCCCGGTCGACTTGCGAACCGCACGAGTACCCGAGTGCGACGAAACCCCAGGATTTATGGCTTCGTCGGGATTTACTTTGCTAGACGAGGACATTGCAGCCGCAGTTCAGTAGCTAGTGGAGAAGAAAAAGGAAACTCGGTTGGACTCGTGGGTTTTCATCCTGGACCCCCAAGACTTTGGCCTATTAGGTCATATTCAGTCAAAATAAGACAAGAAAATCCAGAACAGTAAAGCTGCGGGGATTCAACAGTAGTTCGGACCAGAAACTTTGGAGCAATATTTATGGCAGGATTAAATTAGCTAAGAGTAAATTATTGCTCATCAACAAACAGGAGCTACTCATGTACGAACTACCAACAAAGTTTACAATCCGTCAAAGTGCACCAGAGAAACTAAAGCATGATGTAATTCTCAATAGATAGCATTAGAAAGTGAATGTACGTATCAAGGATATTATATGTATGTAGAGTTATATTCGAAATATGTGAAGTACCCAAACTGACTGAACACTAATGTCCCAAAACTTCTGTTTTACAGCTAAACTCTATACCCTTTACCAGACGATATTTGATGAACTTGGATCCCCTACAGTAGCTAGAGTTTAGCATATACCTCCTAGTCTTCACCCTCAACCGTGCTGGAAGCGATTTCACCAAGCAAGATAATACTGCTTCTAACCCTTTAATATTCACACTGACTCCAGTCGACTCGATAGATATAATACACATGAACTTGCAACAGTTTAATCCCCTTTGGCATATGCTATCTTATATCTGATACATATCTATTTTAGACTTATTAACTATGACCCATTTATCCCCCATACAATATTTACCAAATCCATTTCCAACTGCAAATTCAATTCCAATGATACATGACTCTTAATATAGCAATTTAGTATTTATTCTGGTATTTATATTTATTTATGAAGCTTTATAATACATCGAATATTATCCATTATTGGGTTATTGAAGATAAAAATTATTTATCACCCAATTCAACATGGATATTTGAAAATATTATTTATTATTTTATACATAAACATGTTATGTTATCTACCAGTTATTTAAATGTATTATACAATTGGCATGTGCATTTATACAAGAACTCAAGTATTTTTTATTCCTCAACAAGGCCGCTAATCCTATTTTTGAATTGTTAATTCACAACGGTACCTTAATGAAATCCCACTTGACCTTTCTTTACTTTTCTGCACTATACTATTTAGATGAAATAGCTTTTCTTCTTCTTTATGTCTTTGTGTATGTATATACCACAAAGATAAAAAGATAAAAGTGGAGATGAGAGAAAATTGTTGACGAGTCAAGAGATCTCATCCACTGCTCTTCATTCTGACTTTCTCAAGAGATGTGGCTAACATGTGGAATTGTGCTTTACACGTTAGCTATTTTATTATTTATGTATTTTTTATTTATTTATCTTTATTTGTACAACAGTTTTAAAACTTTACATCAGATATGTATATTTATAAAAAATAGAATAAAAGAAATGAAATTTTCTTTAACATGTAAATGACATTTGTTTGAATAGTGATTTAATTAAAGTCTATTTGCACCACAAAGTTTACGAGCAAATATAAATTTATTGTTTGAAAACTGAATTAAGAATCAATTGAATTAGCTAGCATTGTAAAAAAAGACGTTTGTAATAAACTCGTTTAAACTACATTCTACTAACATTAGTACTATATTTCCTAAAGGGATTCAGGTAGTATTTCAGAGCTATATATACCTCAACAACAGTAAGTTGAAAATTCGAAAGGGGATTTGATCTCTAACCCCAAAGTTCTTGTGAACCAAGAGCTTCGTATTCGTCGTCCTAAGAAATAAAGATACTGGTTGGTACCCTGGAGAATAAGGTTTTATTTTGTTTGCTTAGCTGGTCTCAATAATGTCGTTAAAATCTTTCTGCTCATCTCGTGCATGTACACGCGGGGGCAGCTCTGAAAATATTAGTTCTTCCTTTTGTTTAATTTTTCAAAGTAGCGCCAGCTGACCTACCTGAGTGGATCTCTCTCGACGTTCAATTAGGAGCAAATTCAGCGGAACCAGGGCCTGTTTTGGAGTCACTTGACGACTGAGTGTATGAAGAATTGAAAGAAACAAAGATGTGCATGCCATTAGATAATGTCATGAATAAATATTTTACCAACTTTTGTTCTCCTCTTTCATCTACTTCAGTTCTTTTGTTTTATAATAAAACAAATAATGAAATACAGAAATTGAAGTAATTCTCGGTAACAAGTTGATCTTGTTTCTTGCAAAGTATACTCGATAAATATAATTCTAACAAATGGAGTACACTTTTTACTTTTCAATAACGATGAATCATAAATTTTCATAAATAATAATAGAATTAATACATATCGATAAGTTTAATAGAAAAGTTTATTGGAAATAAACTGTCATTTCTGTTTGGATCCACTGCTTTTGATTCTATTAATTGAGTTTTCATGAAGACAGTTCGCCAGAATTTTTCTCTTATTCGATTGCTTTAGAAGCAATTCTCCAAGGATAGAGTAAACATGAGACGAGCAAACAGTAGTAAGCCATTTTATGATCCTTACATGTTGGCCTCTACTACTTTTATAAGTTACTCTGTTTGCAGTGTTCTCGCAACTTTATTATTGATTCCATAACATCGCGCATCGCCACACATGTATTTATTATATACACAATATACGAACAGATGTAATAAAATCAGTTGGTTATTTTCGCTTTTGTGTCTATATGAGTTCTAGATCTATATAAATAAAATTTCACAGTTTATAAAACACTGCAATGGATAAATAGGTAATATAAATTCGCATGTTAACTGTAATGGCGATGCATTAAAAGTAAATAAAAAAAACAGAGGGAGATAAAAAAATTAATGTAAAAAATGCAAGAGAAAAGAACAATATCCAATAGCTGTCATTTTACCAACGACAAATTGATTCTCCTGTATATACAAATGGTAAAACGAATTT